CAAATTTACTGAAAAGGAAGAAACAGGAAAATGTTGCCCATACTTCAAATAAAAGGAAGTTGGGGTGATGGTGCTCACATGTAGTTCCAACTACTCAGAAGTCTGAGGAAGGGGGCAACCCCACTGGGTCCCCTCCCACTGTGGGAGCTTTTCTGTCTTCTCAATAAGTACTGCTTACACACACACACACACACACACACACACACACACACACACACACACACAAAGTCTGAGGCGGGAGGATCCCATCCCTTTGAGCCAGAGGTTTGAGGCCAGCTTAGGCAACACAGTAAGACCCCATCCTATAAAAAAAGAAAGGCAATCACTGGAGGTCAACCCCATGGAGACCCAGATGCAATAATTAGCAAATAGGCTTTTAAAAACTCTTATTATAATTATATTAGCATAAATAAATTAGCATAAGATATCTTGGCAGAGAGAGTTTTTAAAAGAATGAAATGAAATTTGAGAACTAAAAAATAGGATCTCTGAAATTAAAAAAAAAAAAAAAAATCACTAGATAGCCTTGACAACAGATTGGGAATGACATAAAAGTCAGTGAACTTATTGGTCAAACTGAAAAATAGAAAAAGATTTAAAAAATTAATAGGTCCAGTTCAATGACCTTTGGAACAATATCAAACAGTCTCACTGTGGGGTATTATTTGGTGATACCAGAAGGAGGAGAAACAGACTGTAGCCTGCCTGCCCCCACATTTAGTAGTAATAGGTAAAATTTTACAAGTTTGGTGAGGGACATAAATTTATAGATTCAAGAATCACCAAGAAACACAGGTGCAATAAATAAAAAGAAAACTATACCGAGGCTCACTATAGTCAAACTACTGAAAGCTAAAAACAAACACAAGTTAAATGGTAATTACTGGGAAAGAAGTGCATCCTCCTTTTGAAATTCCAAAGCAAAGAAAAGTACAGAGAGTGCTCAGAGTAGAACAAGGCAATAAAGTCTCCTTAGAAGCCCAACTTTAAAAAGATACTACATTTCCCCTTGTAACTCAGGCATTTCCTAGACAGGCCTTAGGATTTGAGGGGAAATTTCAGATTTCTTTTTTGTTGTTGTTGTTCTTTACAAGAGTGAAGCATTAGAAACACACAGACTATCAATTTTTCAGATATTTCAAAGGTACCAACTCTTTGCTGATCTTTTCATTATTATCTGTAATGACTTCCATTCCTGTGATTACCATTGAGTAAGCTGAGAGATTTTTTTTTTTTGTCTGATCCCTTGCAATTTCTGATGGATCCTTTCCTTGCTTCAAAGAGAAGATTAAGTCTAACTTAAAGATAAGGGTCTGCTTATGAGGAAATAAATGCTTATACTGAAGGTATTTGGGATTCAAATCCAGTTCCTCACAGCAATTATATGAAGGAGAAATAGAGTGACACTCTGAAAGAGAGGGAAGACAAAGAACAAACTGCTCCCTCTTAAACAAGGAACAAAAATTAAGACAAGAGAACCCTATGTGGAAGGAGGCAATGACTACAGAGGGCAAATGCTACATGATTTGTAGATAGATACCTTAACTCAGAAAGACCAAGTTGCTGTATTCCTCTAACATCTCATCTTTGTATAAATTCTTCTGATCAGATAAATTCACATTTATCACTGAGTAAATGATTCTAAATGGGTGATTATATCCCCTTCTAGGAAGGAATTGGAATTATGTGATAACAAGTTGTGGCTGTTACAATAACAGAAGTGTGACAACAGAATGTCCAGTTCGAAGAGTCAGGGATGCTAAACACCTGTAATGGTAGGACAATCCCACACAACAAAGAATTACCTTAATAAAAATGGTTCAACTGTGAAACATACTAGCTAATATCATAAACATTTTTCCTACTCAAGGCAAACTGCTTTGATAAATATTTCATCTTATGATGGAAGAGAATTGCAAAAACTCTCAGCAGAAATGACTGCCAAAAAGCCTGCATGAAGAGGCCTGAGACCAAGCTGTACCATGGCTTTTAGTGGTTTAAGGTTGTGTCCTAAGGCTGACCTCAGCCCCCCTTAAAATACCTTCCTGAGAAAACTCAACATTGATATGCATATTTAGTGTTTGTTCCAGCCAAAATATGAAGATAAGTGATCGGTCTTTAAGAAAGCTTGTAATTACATATCATTTCTTTGCCCTGTTGAGATGTAAATCTACCACCCAGAACTTTCACCCCAAGGCCTGGGGAGAGTAAGGACCTAACTCTGGTGCTTGTCTTGCTCTAACGTGCACAACTACCTGAGTCATAAAGATATGATGTTTGCTTGTCTTCTGCATAAGTGTCAATTAGTACAAAAACCCGGATGGTTTAGTCATATGAACTAAACACTCTTCAGTGTCTTTTCTTTAAAAGTACATCCAAGCATTTAAAACATCTCCTGGCTTTTACTTCCCAAAGTGGAGCTCAGTTTACCCTAGATTCTCCTCCCTACTGCAGTAGCTGTTACTGGATAAAATCTTTCTTTAGCCCAGGCAACTTGGAGACTCGTCTCTAAAATCTAAAAAAAAAAAAAAAAAATTGGGGCATGATAGCACGCACCTGTAGTTCCGGCCACTTGGAAGGTTGAGACGGAAGGATCACCGGACCCCAGCAGGTGAAGGATGCGGTGGCTGTGCGCGTGCCACTGCACTCCGCTCCAGCCTGGGTGACAGTGAGACTCTGACTCAAAAAACAAAATTTTTTTAACTTCCTTTAACTAGTGTCCCACTTTGTTTCTCTTTGATAAGAACCATCCATTGTATTTTCTTGAACACCACATATCAGAAAAGGTTTTGAGTAAATGTAAATGAATACTGACAAAACCATAATAGTATGCCAGGGAAGTTTCTAACACAACATATGTAATTGATATCTTGTATTTTTAATCTAAGATAAGGGGATAAATGGAATTGAGTGCACTTTGAGAGGAGAGTAAGAGTATTGATAAATTTGGCATTTTAAAGTAATGGCTAAAACCTCCTACAAACTTACTAGTTTCCCTACTAGAAAATAATAATGACAATAATAAATAAATCCAACATTAGAAGAGAAAAGGTGGACACGGTGCTTGATGCCTGTAGTCCCAGCACTTTGGAAGGCTGAGGCCAGGAGTTCAAGACCAGCCTGGGTAACACAGCAAGACCTCCCCGCCCCCCTCCCGTCTCTACCAAAAATACATTAAATGTAAATAAACTCTCCAATTAAAATTTTAGAGATAGACTTTGGAGTATATTTGCTTATATATTTATTTTGGAGTCAGGGTCTCTCTGTGGCTCAGGCCGGAAAGCAGTGGCATGATAAAGGTTCAGGGGATCCTTCGACGTCAGCCTCCGGAGTAGCTGGGACTAGAGGCGAGAGCCACTGCGTAGGCCCGGCTTGTTTTTCTGCCTTGTGTGTGTGTGTGTGTGTGTGTGTGTGTGTGTGTGTGTGCTTGTTTTTCTGCCTTTTGTGTGTGTGTGTGTGTGTGTGTGTGTGTGTGTGTGTAGACAAAGTCTCATCATGGCCTAAGCTAGCCCGGCTTGTTTTTCTGCTG